TTTTTTTTTTTTAGAAAAATAAAATTTATTTTTATATTTTTTTTTTTTTTTTTTTTTTTTTTTTTTTTTTTTTTCCAATCCGTCATGAAAAGATCATCTGTGGGCCATGTCAGTCTGTGTTTTCCGTTGCTGTTGTTCTTTGCTGTAGAAAAAAACTACTTTTTCTTCTTCTTTCTTAATGAGAAAACATTCAGTAGTTAAAGATAGCTGATTGACGAATCGATACAAGAGATGAGGAAAAGGGACGCGCTATGTCCTGACTGGAGAAAACCATGCTCTGCCTCTGTTATTGCGTTAAAATACAGTTTACACATCAGAACTGGTGTGTAAACAAACTTAAAATGTTTGTATTTTCGATCTTTATAAATGAAACTATGGCTTCTCGGGACTTTGAAAACCAGCACCAGCCCATGCCTAGTTTTGTTCAATCTGCGCCCTTCAAGTCATCTTCCACACTAGCAGCAGAGCTAGCATAAGAACGTTTAGCACCGTTTGCAGTGTCGACATTAACAGGATTACAGATTAGGGATTACATCTGCATCTTTCTTTTCCATTTAACCTTGTCCTTTGCCCTGCTGAAACATTTCAATTGTCAAACCAAACTCATTACCATCTTTTTTTTTTTTTTTTTTTTTTTTAAAGCCCTAAGCGTTTGAACGAATTCTCAGGCATAAACAAAAACAAGCAGACCTTCAACTAATGAGTCTCCCAGGTCTGTCTCTTTTGCAGTCGAGCCGCTTTGGTACATCCACATCAATACACAGAGACAGAAAAGTGATAACGGCACCAGCAGCCTTTTGATGAGTGTCCTATGGATTACTGCCCCCTTTCTGTGCCGTTTCCATCCGTCTGATCACGACGCATCTCCAGAGTTTCCATGGAGAACGTGTGGTTGCCAAGGCCTGTGGCGGCTGATCACAGAGGGTCATCGTTTATTTCTGTCAGTCAGCAGCAAGGGGAACAGATTGGCAAGGAGAGATGACAGAAAGGAGGGGCCGGGGGAGGGGCGAGGGCGCTGGCGGATCCTGAGGGGGCAGTGAGGGTCCGGCTCTCCTTTAGAAGTTTATTTGTCCAGGGGATCACCAGCATGTAGTCCGATGGTGTTAATGTACTGACTCTCCTCGCAAATCCCCCGTGCCACTTAGTCTTATTCACACTTTAAACAAAGTGCAGCAGCGGTGCAGAGGTGGGAGGGAGGTGAAGTAGGGAGCAGGACGCGCGAGGAGGCTACATATGGCCAACTGCTGCGTTGTTTATTCCAAGAGTTGTTACAGCTGAGGAGCAGCCTCAGTCTCCCGGCTCCTCTTCATCTCTCATTAATCTAACAGTATGGTTCTGGCCCGCTGCCTGTGCTGTTGAGCGAGCAGGCTTGGAGTGACCACCCACTCCGAAGAAAAGCATTATTCCGTCTTCTTGTCCGTCACCTGCTATTGTTTATTCTCTCCGTGTTTCTCAGCTGCCATAAAATAATGAGGGGAACATTTGAATTTTTCAGATTGATGGTCGCCCTCGGGGGTCATTCTTCTTCTTTATTTCCTCCCCTAAATTAGATTTTCCGTCTTTTTGCTCACTGTTTTTCATTCCCTGTCCTGTACTGTTTTCCTTCTTTTCATCTTGTGGTTCTTTTCCTCCCTCTCTCTCTCTCCCTGTCTCTCTCTCTCTGTCTCCGTCTCTCTCTCTCTCCCTCCTGCCGCCCCTCCTGCCAGACTTCTAGTCCACGTGTGCAATTACGTAGCTCACATTCAGTCAGGGCTCTTTCCATCACAGAGAATGAAAAGGTTTGTTAACACACGCGTTCCTCTTCCTCTCCTTCTTTATGCATGAGTTAAGACTGAGTTTCTTTGGCAGTCTGAAACACTCTGTTGTGTTGAAACCTTTTGGCTGGTTCTTACCTCCCCAATATGTCTGCCGGCTATACCTCTCATTGGCTTCTGAGAAAAAAAAAAAAAAAGAAAACATGAAATATTCATGCTCCCCTTTTCTCCTCTCTCTCCGTTCGTGAATCAATTATTTTGTAGAAAGGGGATCTCAGACTTTCACGTGGCTTTTCCGAAGGTACCTGCGGAGGGTAAAGTGGAAGACGCATTAGGTGAGATGGGCATGCAGACATTTGAGATCCATTAGCCATTATTTTGTGCAGTTGATCCAATATTCTCATCATGTCCTAAAGTATTCTGCTCTCTATTTAGCCTTCCTAATATCACTGCCTCGCTCTCTGGGCCTTGAGGTTTCCATTAATTTATCCCCGCGGCTCTCACCCTCCCGTCTCGTGCCATCGCCCTCCATCTCTCACACCGTCTTCGTCCTTTTTTTTCAGCTGCACATCACTTTCTGAAGGTCAGCATCGGGAGGCAGTCATGTCTGCTGAGAACTGGGCAAAGAAGCGAGGCATCGGCTCTCGCCGTGTGTTTTGTCACCATTAAGTCTGCTCCCAAGTCATGTCAGCAGGGTCATTAGAGTCGCAGTGGAGCTTATTGGGTCCCTGCGGACGTCGGCCAAAGATAGCACATCTTGGGCCTGATTACTCATTAACAAAATATAAATAAATTAGAGACTTTTTTTTTCTAATCAGCCGAAACAGGAAATGAAGAAACTACTTAAAAAAAACAAAAAACAAAAAAAAAAACAAAAAGAAAAGAAAAAAAAAGATGTGTTTTACATTTTATTAAATAGTTAGACATAGTATGTTTTTAAATGTCTTTGTGGACAAATAATTGATTTTTAAAGAGAGAATTTCAGGTTACTGTTGAAGCTTGTGCATTTCCTGTAGCTTATCCTCTCTCATAGACATTGATCTCCAGCTTGTTGCAAAAAGCAATATGACCTTCACTTCCATACTATAAATTTGTAAAACAGACACAAAACTACAAATTGATATGCAAACATCAGATGTCAGAGTAAAGGTTTCTGAACTGTCCTCATAATGCATAATATTAAATATGATTTTTTTTTTTTGGTATTTTGTTTTAATGGGCAACTTAAGAGTTGTTTTTTTAATTATTCTGTTGTGCACTTTTAAGGTAAGGTAATTTTATTTATATAGCACATTTTCAGCAACAAGGCAATTCAAAGTGCTTTACATGAGTTAAAAGGAAATACAAACAAAATAACAAACCAAAGGAAAGGGAAAAAAATATTACTTTGCTGAAAGATGGCGATGGTCTTTAACAAGTTGAGGGCGGATTGTCGGTATCAGACAATGACGAGGTTTCAAATAGTTATGATTTCGAAATGTGTAATATCTTTTATCATATATTTTCTACAGTTTAAAGTCCTTAAACTGTAATACCAGTGGAAGTGACCAGAGTTTTCCCTCTAAGGAGCATGAAGCAGGACTGCTTTCCGTGGTAGTTGTTGAGCACTGCTGTTCAGCAGGCTGAAAGGAGGTTGGTGCGTTTCCTATGTACTCAAAAGAACACAAGGAAATGCGGGTTGCACCTCCCTTTCTTCCAAAGCTTAATTATTATGACTTGCAACCTAAAAGAGTTCCATTCATCTGTAACATTGTGACAAAAGTAGATTTTAAAGTTACACTTGCAAAGCTGTGAGTTCTCAGTCTGTTCAGTAGCTGACTACAGGCTAGCGAAGTAATCAGAACAACTAAATTACTAAAGCCATCTGTTGTCGCTCTATAAAACGCAAAACGCTTCAAAACATATGTTAAGAAATGCACCAAACAGGATTTTGTGGCTAGTTCGTAAAGCTTTGAGCTCCTGACATCAATTACTTCTTGAAAACTACGATTCAAGAAGACTAATCTTCCTCTATACATTCCGGAAAATGCAGATCCTGATGTTGACTGTGATTTTCCCATAAATGGGTGCCAACATTTCCAAAGCCAACATGTTCCATGACAGACAGATTTAGAGCATCAGATGATGAAATAGAGCCGCATTGCTTTACTCTTTTCTGTTATCTACTGAAATCCTGGATCTCTCACAACATGATTAGTCCACAGACATGCGTAGATGTGTTGAACATATGGCTCGCTTTAAAATTCTACATTTATTCTACAGCTTTACTTTAGACCATTGCTAAGAGTGGTTCGTCTAGTAGCAGTCTTTTTCTCTCTGTAAAAGTGAACCACACCAGAGTGTGTTATTGTCATACCACCTTGATATAGTTACTTGAGTATGTTATACGTTTTCTCTTTTAAAATCTTCATGTAAATACTGTGAAACTGGTATTTTTTTTTATTATTTATTTTTTTTTACCTAACGTTAAATCCGAAAGCAACCCGTGCTTTTTCTTTTGCTGCTCTCTCTCACTTTTGCAGCTGTATGAGTTTTGGTTTCCTATAAGTAGATTCAAGCCCTCTCGCCGGAGAGGTCTGAAGAAAACCCCTCCTCGGCTTGGGTGTCGTGTGAAGTTGTCACTCTCGCGTGGCCGTCTGCTTCGCTGTTTCCAGCAGGAGTCGCTTCCTGCGGGCTAATCATACTTTGATATGCTGTGGCACGAACCTCGGCTCCCTTAGAAATGAACAAACAAGGCACCCCGGGAGATCTCGAGGCGACCGGAGCTGTTGGGGTTTTTTTGTCTGTTGCGCCACGATACGTCCTCTGAACACCCACCTATTTTTTTTTTCTTTTCACGGTCTCTCTCTTTACATTAGTCTCTGTATCTCTGTGAAGAGGAAAGTTGGACCCCAGTCAGAGAAGCAGAAGTGTGATTCCTGCCTTTCCACTCGCAGCGAGATTTAGCGCGTCTTGTTAATCTTAGCTGGAAGCACGGAGGCCGTAGAGAAATGCCAGAACGAGTCTCGGCTGCATCAGACGTATACAACCGTTTTCTCTCCTCACGTCCTGCTGCGTCTGTTTTGAATGATTATTTTGGTAATCAAATGGATTATCCTTAAGGAGTTGTGTTGGGCTGAGCAAACTTCTATGCTTCATGTTATTCACCTTTAATTAAACCAGGACGCCATTATCGCATCCTTTTCATGTCCGTTTGTGTCGGTCGAGATGAGTTTTGGTGGTCAGCGTTTATTGCCTCGGAGTTGAGAAGGATGCGACTCTAATGCGGTGTCGAGGGCTTTATAAAGAGGAGGCGTAGCACCACAATAGCTCTCCAACTTAATGGTCAGAGGATTTTCTATGCAAAGGTAATGATGCTCCGTCGCGTTTCTCCCACCAGCACTCTAAATGGACAAAAGATGTTTTTCTAAGTGCCGAGCTTTACACTGTTCTCACGCCGCATCCTGGGTATTTCACACTTGGCTTGATAGGGATAGTCTAAAAGGCTGAGGTATTATGCTCGGTCTGCAGAGAGTATGGAAATGTATATCGAGTGCGCTGGAGGATTTTTGCTACAAAGGAGAGGGTCTGATTGTTGCCAGGTTTGTCTGTCACTGTTCTCCACGCCTCTGCGCGCTCCGATTGCTTCCCCTCCTTCGGCTTGTTTTTTTTTTTTTTTTTTTTTTTTTTTTTTTTTGTGGTGCTGGTTCTGTGTGGGGGGTTTTTAGGGCCTGATGGCTTCACTCATGTGCTGTCGCACGTTTTCACTGGATTGAACTGTGAACAAGCTCGTGCTGCATCTTTCTTTCTCTCATTCCTCCTATGAATTGTGTTGTGTCTGTAAGACCTGGAATCTTTGCTTTATTTGTGTTTTATTTGCAGACACAGAGGCTGCAGCGCCTTGCAGGATTCTGTAGTAAAAGTGTAGGAGCTGCAGAGAACCACAGCTCAGGTGGAAATATCTGGCAACAGGACAGCTAGTAATGGTGAACTCCTCAAATCTGTCCTTTATGGAGGAGTGGCTAGAAGAAAAAAGTCATGTTATTAATTGGTCACACACCATCTCCCATTGAAACATGGTGGTGGCAAGTTGCTTTTCTCAACTTGTGCACATCCTTCTTCTGCAACTTTTCTTCCTTTTATCTTCCCCTGTGTTTACTTCCTTTCTTTCTTTTGTCCCACATTCTCTATCTCGTCTCTAATTCCTGCATTTGTTCTTTTTCTCCGTCTTTAGCTTCATTTTTACTTTCCGTCCTTTTTTGTGTCTTCCTTAGTTCACATTCTCCTTTGTCCTTTAGGTCTTGTCCTTCCCTTTCCCCCTGCCTTCAATCCTCACTAGTGTCCATTCTTCTTTTCTTCTTTTCGTTTTGTCCTACATTATGTCCCTCCACCCATTCATCCCTGTGTCCTTCCTTTTTGTTTTTTCTTTTTCCTTTGCTTTCTTCATTCCTTCCTCATAACATTTTTTCATCTTTTTTTTTTTTTTTTTTTGCAGGTTTCATAAACTACTTTTATAATATAAAAGTTCAGTTAAACTGACTGAAGAGGGATCAGATTTCTTTTAAAAAAATGTGTAGGAACTGTGATTGAAGTACATTGGTTGTTGTCGTGACGAGACAAAAAGAGAGAAGCTGTAAGGGTGTAAAATACTTTAGGTATGCGTGCGTGTAGGGTGAATCTGGCAGCTGTTTCTTTGAGTGGGATTACTTCGGAGTGAACTTTCTGATAACACACGCGCAGCTCCCACACGCCGTCAAACCCACATGGCAGCCAAACGCAGCCTGCTGTTTGTCCTATAGGAGCTGTTATCGTGCTGCTGGATTTCAACTGAACTTTTTTTTTTCTTTTTCTTTTGTCTTTTTCCTAGGAGTGGAGTGTGTACCCTGAGGGAGCGATGCTGCTCTGATGACCTGCTCGGCCTCGGCTTCCTCTAGAGATTATTCTCCAGTTAGAAGAGCGGGGCAAATTGTCGACAGGATATGGTTGGAGGATTCGCGTGATGGATAGGTGATGAAGTCCTCCACCGCCCGTCTCCCCCGGTGACTCGCCCTCTCCTGCAGCTCGCGCTCCGGCACGAGTGTGTACCGGCGGCCCACGAACCCTCCACTTCTTTGCCATGGTGACATAAGCGGCACTGCAACATGAGGGAGCGCCAACGTGACCGTCCTGTTTCCTTTCCCAGTAGCTGTTGTCGCTGCTACCTCCATGCTTAGCTCTGTAACAATTCGGACTCTGCTGTGAGAAACTTCTGCCTCTTTTTTTTTTTTTTTTTTGTTTTTTT